GAAGAGATGTGATTCATTTCAAGATTGGTATGCCACTGAATGCCATCAAGTGGCCGAAAGATCAACTACCTCGCCATGTAACCTGAATGTCCCGGGTACAATCCCTAATGAGAAGGGTAACAAGTGTGCACTACTGTGGAGTCCTAAATGAGGACGAAACAGTCATCCGACATCCCCTGGTTCTCAGTGGTTCTGTCACTGCAGTAAGCAGATGGTCAATCTTGAAATCAATCAAGTCCCTACAAACCAAAAGCTTGAAATCATTATTGATTTAATTAAATCATCTGTTTATAGAAAGCAAAAATAGCACATACATTTTTCACCGAGTTACCTTTAATCGCCTCGCAGAGAAGTTTCTTCAGATTGCAAAATTCGTGAAGTCCATCTCTGCGACTTTGTTCTGCAATACTAAGGTTTCGTCTAAATTTATTTTGGAACTTTTTCAAATATCATGGTGGTCAATGTAAGGCGTGCAGAATGTTAGCCAATTGGGTTCTACTTTTAGCCACATTTATTCAGGAGTGTAACTAGAAAAATATTCGTCATTTGCAAATATTTTGGTTAGAAGAAGAATTTCTCTACAGTTTGCTTTACAGACCAAAAATATTTGGATCACTCTGTGTGATCCGCTTGATATTATAAGCCGCGACCAAGAAAACAGAAATAAATGCATGAGAGTATTCAAACCGACCGATTCATATGAGTAGTTAGGATCCACTGATGTTAACCCTAAGTGCTTGGTGGCCAGACATGTGTGATCTAACAACTTGTGTTGTAGACAGTATGACACCAAGTAGTGGAATTGACCACTGTTTTTATTAAACAAGCTTCAAACATGAAATAAATATGAATAACACCTTTTATTCACTAGATCATTGAATAATTAACACCGTTTCACTGTATCAAATATTTCATAAACGAGTCAACATGAATTCCCCATTGTACTGTACACTGCTGTCAGCCTGACTAATAATTTCATTAGTAAATGCAGAATGAAAAATATTATCATCTCAACCATTCATAAATTAAAGAATCTAAAGGTTTTTAAAAACGTTTTATAATTTACTGAATAAGGCTAAAAGTTAACAACTTGTATTTTTTGGAAAAAGAATAACATTTCCAACGGTTAACCTCAGAGATTCATTAACAATTACGGAAGGTTCGAAGGCCCAAATGTCAAACAAATCACAGAGGAAAAAAGCCTGTTTTTATTCAACTCGATTTTAAGGGTTAAAATATTGTAGGAATAGACACCAGCCGGAGTCTATCCTGCAGCTAACCTGGTTTCCGTCTATCGGACGACATGCTTTTTGGTGCAATTGATCTTCTCATGTTGACGCTAGCTTTATATACTAATTAACGTGTATCTGTGGAGTCAGATACGTTACGAAAGAAGGGCACACCTCCAATTTTCTGACATGTACCACCTCAAGGGAGAAAATACTTCCAACAGTGCTATTACCAAGCATCTCCTTGATACTAGTCAGGAGGTGGAAATCGCAAATTCCTTTAAAAATATTAATAGGCAAAAGAGCTCAATTCTTCTCAGTGTTTCGAAGCAATCTTTAACAAACGCCTGAAATGCCATTTGTGTGTTCAGAAAGAAGCAGTTATCAGTCTTCCCTTGCCAACCTGGTAACTGGATGTCTTTACTCTCTCTTTCATTTGATAACGTATTCTTTGGCTTTAACCTCACTCCCTCCTTGAATATAGTGCAATTTCCCTTATCTCTTGTTTCTGTAGTTAGTTACTCATATTCCTACTCACCTCCTGTCTCTATTAAGTAACTCCTTTACCATTGCATGTATACAGTGATTTTGTTTAAACTTGAACCCCCTAGGTAAAATTTATATAAGCGTAATTTTCTGATCACTGTTCATTAAGTTTGGAACCTCCTGTCAAGTGACATCATGTAAAATTTGCAAGTATGTTAAAACTGTTCTGTGAACTAAATTAATAATGATTTACTGAAGTTGTACGCAGCTGATAAGAAGCCGACGAAATAAGAGGTGGTACAATAGTATTCTGCACAAAGTGTTATTCTTGCTTTATTCAAAATCCTACTGGACATTTGCTCACGTCGGCAGTTCACTAATGGAACAATCGCCAACCAGACATATGGTTCGGGGTTCAATTCCCAGCTGGCGCGCCCCTCAACCCTGCTTAACCGTCAGTAATCTGGGTAAAAGGTAAGGTTGGATGAGATGCTAGCAACCTCACCTCGTAAAAAGTAAATACCATTGCTAATGAAAATTCAAAGCCAGAGAGAGCTTGAAGCTCATCGTTCCATTCGGAAAGCAAAGGAATAAAATGAAATGGAATAACTGGATAGTTGCTTAAACCAAATCAAAAGAGATGAAAGTAAAAGTTTTATAATAAACAGTGACTCGTAGGAATGACTTAACAATGAATAACTCACAAATGCTTCAAAATGAGGGCCTATATATACATGCCTATATTAGTGTTGTATTGACAAATTCAATTTATATGAGTCCTTGTTCAACAAACGTTTGTTTATACACTTTTACGTATAATTCTATGGATCCACACAGACAGAAATGTTAGACTTCAGGTGTATTTCAGCATTTTCCTCGCTGAATTTGTCTTTTATTTTCCTCATGACTCAATGGGTATTTTCGGTGATATTTTTAGGACTTTAACATCCATAAACGTGTTTTCAGTGGTGCCAATCCATCTTGCGGTCTGCAGATCGATTGATTAGACTTCGCATCATTAAATGTGTCAACTATTTAACTGTGAGACAACAGACATACTTCATATTGGTCTGCTTCTGAATAATTTGTCTTTAAATACTTTTCTGGATATGTAGCTAATTCATGATGATTTTATTGTTAATCTGTTCAGACTATAAAGAGTGAACCAGTGATAAAAAGAAGTATTTATGGTTTTTATCAACAAAGGAAATGTTAAGGATCTCAGATAATCCAAATTCTCGCTATCATATTTCCAAGCTTCAAGTACATACATATATATATATGACGCGTTCTAGGTGAACGACCGAAGGGTTGGTTTAGAGGTGAAAAAATATCCATACAGTCAGGATTTCCAATACTTGCATGAATATACAAATGGTCATTGCATAAACTGAACATATAGCAGAAGGGAAACTTACTCAGCTAAGTCTAGGAATTCCCGAGTGTTTTATTTCGAATTAAGAACACACAAGTCGACAAAGAGACCATGTTTTTCTTAACTTCTCATTAAAGCTGTACAGTTATTTTGGGGGCTTATATATACAGCGTTAATTGACAAAACAGATAAGAGGCTATTATCGATTAGTATGAAAGACAAATTAAAATATATTACGAGTAGCAATATGTAACAAACATTGAATAATCTTGCATAATGAAGAAAGTGTACAACTAATTAGTTAAGTGATAAATAGTTACATGAAGATAATTCAAAGGAGACAAGACCATAAAGAATTAGGAGTCAGTTAAAAAAAACAAAATGCACAGTTTGTTATACAACAAATCAAGAAAATGAAACTGATACGAAGGTTATGTTTGTAAAATAAGGCCAGATATTTTTGATTATCAGACAAATGCAGAAGACTACTGTTTTTTTATTTTCTCTCATTTTTAATGTCAGTTAACTATTTACGCATAGGTATTTTGTGTTGTTTCTGCGTTTTGAAGTTTCTGTAGCGGTTGAATTGATTTTCTGGGGTAGGGTCATTAGCCTCATGCCTAACATTTCATCTTTTTCCGGACATAGGTCAGGTTAGACAACTAGTGAAATATTAAATTACTCGGGGCTAAAACAAGACTATAGAAAACATAGTCCAGTGGAGATGTACTACTTAAGTCACATATTTCACTTGGAAAGCATCACAATAATAACATTATTATTCCCTTGGCTTCCCGGTGTAACATAGGGCTTCAATAGTACACCCCACATTGGCCTATCTTCTGCAGTTCTCTTTAGGCAGCTCCATAATTGCCCTTAGTCTATCATCTCTGCTGACAAGATCTCCTCCATGTCACCTTTCGATGACCATTCGTCGTTTTCCGTTTAGGTTCCACTCGATCTACGGCCTGACGCGTGATGTCACCCAAAATCTTCTCAGCATGTGCCTGAACCATCTCCATTTTCTTCGACATATTTGTTGAGCAATATGTTCTCGATTGCTTAATCCCCAGAGTTTCTTGTTGCTAAAACATCCTCTCTATCTAACCTTCAGTATAGACAGAAGACAGCTATTTATAAATGCTCGAAGCTTGTTTGAATGGCTTAGTTTATTAGAAAAAGACAGAGGTTGGACGTAAGACTAACGACCCTATCACGGAAAATCAATCCAATCGCTACAAAAGCTTCTACTCGCGGAAAAATAGTAGTAAATCTAAGGTTACTTTGACTGGACACTAGTAATTAGTATAACGTGTCTGACTGAATTCTATCAGTCAGGTTTCTAATGTGGCCACCATTCTAGGTAGCTCACCATCATGGTGCATATTGATTTAATGATATTAGATGGTTGAAGGCAATCAGCATGAAGCCCCGCCTGGCCCAGGTTTCGTGCTACTTGGCACTCGTCAGCAAGGCGTATCTGCAACCGAATTGAGGGAACTCATGTCATTCCTGGGATTCAAACCCGCGTCACCCAGTGAGTACTGTAGTCAGAAACGTTACCACTGAGCTATTCGTACTCACGATTGACCTCCTGTAGAACTGTAGTGGATTCTTTGATTGGACATTAGTAACTAGTGTAATGTGTCTAGTCTACGCTGTCTAGAAACGCCTTGCTGACTGGTGAGTGCCAACTAGCAAGAAAACTAGGTCCAAGGCTTCCAACAGATTGCCTACAACCATCAAATATCATCAGATTCAAGCTAAGTACTAATTACTTTTTAAATGATATTTCATCTGATCAGACTACTTAAACCTGTGTAACTGTCCACTGTTCACTTTTTTCTTCTTCTCTTTCTTTCCACAAACGCCCCCCCCCCCCACCAACACACACACTTCTTATAAACCAGAAACTGGACTACTTATAGCCAACGCAAGAATAGTTGATCATCCAATAATTTATGTGAATGAAAGTTTTACAAAAATGACAAATTATACAAGTCGTGAAATGATGCATCAAAATGCTATCTGTCGTCAACTCCACGGTAAACGAACATCAATTAATTCCATAGAACGATTACAGAATGCACTAGATAATGGATATTTCGATCAAGTTGAAATAACTTTATACAAAAAAAATCGTAAGTGTATGATTAATTGATTGTATTACTATGATTATTATTAGTATTAGTATTACTATTATTATTTTTCACATAACAATTATTATAATTAGCTGTCATTACTTTTAGTCTTCATCACTCTTATATGATTCGGTTGATAATAATGAATTAATCATTCCAGTATATATGCTTATTCGTAACGTTTAATATATTAAAAAATATATATAGCTGTCTATAAGTTGTCAGTTCCTCCATTCAGTCTGTTGAACGAGATAAGGTAAATTTTAACAGTAATTTACTAGTTTTAAAACCTAAAACAATATGCTATTTCTTGTGTGTTTAAGTTAATTGATATTTTCACTGCTGAGTGAATTTTTGCGACTGAAATATTCGGTCTCTGGTAATACGTTAGCTACTAGTGTAACGGGCATAATGCGATAACATTTGGTAGCAGAATTATTTATTTAGCAAAATGATACACAGGGGATAATAAATTACAGAAACGTAGTGATAAATTTTTTCTATTTGCTCGAGCTTTTCAATATTCTGTGAAACTATATACTACTGACTGGATGAAATAAGTAGTCACCAGCCAGATCAGAGTGAGTTAACTTCTGTTTTAGACTGACTTGACCCTCTGAGACTAGTTAAATAGAATGAGCTCGTCCTTAAACAGGAGAAAAGGCTGTCCGATGTTTAGGTCACTTCAATCTAGTTAACAAACACTACTGGTAGGTGTCAGTGGCATACAACTACTCATTTCATCCTATCAGTAGTATGTAGTAGTATTATGCAATTATGCTTGCTTTCTTAATCACTAATTGTAGTATAAATAAGATTACATATTGTGACCTGAATAATCTCGGTCTCAAAATGGAAACAATGGTGAAATAATCCCCTCGATTTGTGTAAATTTCAAATTAATTTGATTGTGAATTTGACTCTTCAAATTGTTTCTTTTGTCTTCCATCCACATTCTTTGTATTGTTTCATTTCTTCTCTTCATAAGTTAATTGGTCAGTTGGCGACTCGAAATTCCTGCAACAGATATCACGCCCTATCTAATACTTGGAAAGTCTTGTCAGTAGCATATGCCACACTGGTACGAACGCTTTGGTAATATCTAAAGATTGATATTACGTCATTTGAACTAAGGCATTTAGAAGACAAATTTCGCTAAATGATATCATTTCGTAGTTTCTCTACAATCGATTTACAAATAACATGGTCAACAATAATTAAATGAAGTGCATGACAATTACTCAGTTAAAGTACATACTAATGACCAATCATATTTAAATAGGTTATGTAGTCCATGGTAGGCGAAGATTGAAGTCTGTTGTTTTTCGTGTACACAGTTTAGGCTGTATATGATTAATCCAAAGTGCTTCTATCACCTTCAATAACCTTGAATTAGAGTTATGTGAAATAATTGTGAAACAGTCACTAATATTGATTTTGTAACCAGACATTAATAAGTGTTTTGCAATGGATGATGCTGGATTTCTAGTCAGATTAATCGCATCGGGATTTTCTATATGATTTAGCAACCATTTTGGAACATTTTCTTTTCGATGACGCTGGAATATTCTATTGGTTCGACCTATATAAGTGTCACCGCAACTACAGGTGAACTTGTAGATACGGTTTGAAATACAGTTCACAGAATTTCGTCCTTTAATCTTAGGTACAAGGATCGAAAATGTTCAGCAAATGAGAAAACGAGATGCGGCGTAGAATGTGCGTTTGATGGCTGATCGAAGTCTTTGAGCTGTCAACTGCATAATCTGGTCACCCCTGAATGGTGGGTTAGTAAAGATAGCTTCCTTTGGTACAGAAGCTGTCTTTTCGAGATGTGGTCTTTCTTCACTGTGACAGGTGATAAAGTTTTCCAAATAACCATTAGCTAATAAAACTGAATGTATATGTCGAAACTCATTCATCACTGTGTCTCTCGTGCATCGTTTTCGGGCCCTTGAAAACAAACATTTCACTAGGGAACGAATGTACTGGATAGAAACAAAACTGGTAAAATGAAGATATTGTCCACTCTATGTCTGTTTAGGAAAAATGGATCGCTGAATCGTTCCATCATCTCTCCTAGTCATTGTAATATCCAGGAAACCGAGTTTGTTATTCGATTCGAGTTCGGAAGCCACTCGGATATTTGGATGAATATGATTAAATAGGGTAATAAAGTTTTCAATAAATTTTATTACCAATAATGGGAGTATCATCTACATAACGTTTATATAGCATAAACTCTCCAAGCATACCTTGCATTTGTTTTTCCAATTTCGACATGAATATATATATATATATATATATATATATATTTTGTCTGATGGTGTCTACCAGTGGATTTCACAACACGAGTTTGGTCCTCCAGTACTTCAGAATTTATGGATGATAAGTGAAGTGACTGTAGCTACAGAACGCTAGCTGACTAATGAACCACGTGATCCGCTAGAAGCAACTCAGCCAAAAGTTTGAATCAACTATCTATCGTTCAATGCACCCTCTATCCAGCCATGTTGTGATCTAAATCAAACCGGTGTTTACTAATGACTGTTTGTACCATAACTTTTACAGATAGACTTTCACTCTCCCCACTGAAAGATAACAGAAGCATCACTTCGAAAATCTAAAGATCTCGTTCTAAACATTTTCAAAACTTAAGGATTCACACCTTAGTGTTTGAAAAGATACAACAGAAAATGAAGCGGTTATGCTAGACAGATTCAATTCCTTTTCACAAGAAGATACATTTCTTTTATAGAATGTTACTTACCCATATCCAAACTAAAGATGAATACTTGATGAAATCACCGTGGTGCATTGACATCATTATTATTATTTGAATTACAAAGCTCTTCAGGTTGTTGTTGCACTGGAGCATGATTTTTTCAGTCACTTCATTTCACTCTTAAATAATTAACCCATATTACGGATGCATGGTCATGCTCAGATGGAGTTGTCGAAAAGTTAAGTTAATAATACATTAGCTACCGATGCTTGATAGTGTTTCTCTAGCTTGTATGCTGACTGAACAGCCGAATAAAGGTGAACCTTGAATAAGCAAAAAATTATTTAAAAGCAATCAGAACAATAAACTAAACAGAATGATACTGTATCATTTTATATCGTCCGGTCTTATCAAGTGAAACGCATAATTTAATTATTGAACACACAGATGGGGGCCACCAATATTAGGTAATTAATTAGTAGGGCAGAAAGCATAAAAAGTGTTATTAATTTCCTTAGGATACATAGGAGTAATTACAAGAATATTATAGAGTTAGCAAAAGTATTTGATAACTAATTACGTGACATATTGTTATCATTAATATTCTCTTGGGTTTTGAGCGGAAAATACGGCCTCAGCAATACATCTCCTTTTTGTTTCGTTTTCTTCTGTCCTCTTCAGTTGTGTTCACGATTGACCATCATCTCTAAGTTCCTCCTCGCTGAACGATCTCTACCAACCCACCCTCACACCAACGACCCACTCGTCCCCCCCCCAATAGGATTCCACTCCAACAATAGCCTGTACTGCGTGCGATTTCATTCGATGGCCTCCTCAACATATATCTGATCCATACTTATTTTCTTCGTTACATTTGCTCAGCAATCGGTTCTTGGTTAGTTTGTTCTGTCCGGCCTACTGTTTGATCTTCAATATGGAGCCAGTGAAGGTATCTGTTGATAAAAGTCCATAACCGGTTGGGAAACACTTTTCGTGATGCGCCAAATTTCTGATCCTTATAGAAGAACTGACTGACCTCACGTTTTTGTTGAATCTGAATCTTGTTCTTTATGCTTTGGAGTGCAGAAGATTTCCAAACTCATCTCAGATTGATGAAGGCATATCTTGCCTTTCCAATTTTGGCTTTAACACCTTTGGTTAAAAGCGTGCTTCCTAGATAAGTTAAGGAAGTAACCTCTATCAAATATCTCTCTTTGATGGTGATTGGTGCTGGTTGTTGTTGCTGTTGTTTGGTTGGTTATCTTTATCACCTTCATCTTCTCTGCGTTCACCTGGAATCCTGTCTTCGCTGCCAGCCTATTCAACCAGTTTATTGGTTTTCGTCTGAAAGTGTTCTAGTCTGTGTGATGCTAAACATAAGTAATCGATTACGCAACAAATGTGAATATTAATCATAGTAACTGAGTACATAAATAAGTGGAGCGACAGAATACAGCAATACATTTGCTAAATGATACTCAGTTAGGGATAAAATACAGAAATTTTACATTGAAATTTCTATTTGAGTAAATTCTTCGTACTCTGCTTCTTTTGTCTTCATTTCATGCTTTCTATACTGTTTTCATAATAGAGTAAATCTGTTTGCTAAAGTCTCACAGTGTTATGCTCATGACGTTTCGAGCACAATTTATTGCGGCTTATAATCACATCAAGGTACTCACAGAACTTTACAACACAGTAAGACTTTAACAAGATAAATTTATTGGAAACATTCATCTGCCCGATACGAATTTAAAACAAGTGACAAAGGTTAATAAAGCATGATTTAATGAATATATGTGTAAAAAGTGGGCACTGTAGTAGTAAGTAATTCCATATTAGTTTGTTTATTAGATGTATCACACAGTGAAACAGTATTATTTACTGGATGACGTTTGGAGCACAACTTATTGTTAATAATCATATCAGCCACAATCACACGACTTCGAAACTCGAGTTTTAAAGTTTTCTTTGTTCTCTTCTATTTGTCGTAGGGATAGTAGGATTTTCCAGATATCTGGGACAGGTGTTGAATCATTCCTATTACATGTATTTGTAGCTGATTCGATAAATAAAGTTTCTGTTATTAATCTCTCCCTCCACCCTGTGATATTAGATTTTAAGACTATCATCTTATCCCATCATCCTGTTGTATGGTTGTGTGTGATTGCATGTAGTGCTATAGTTGAACTATTCTCTAGATTTCTTATCTTATTTGGGTCAACTAATCTAGATTTTGCTAGGTTTTTATTATTATTATTATTGTATCCTTTAG